TACAGTAGCCGAGTAGAGTATTACGGTACTATAATAGTAATAATCCTGAATGATACCAATTCCCAGCTTGTGTAAACGCTAAGTTGCAATATGACGTTTAATATATTACATATAAATAAATGATTTCATTGTCCATAAGTCGCGCTCATACTCTCGGCGAGTTAAGTACGTTGATAACTGTATCCAGACTGCCATAAGAAAGAAAGGTCGGAGTTTCCTATCGCTTTTGCCAACATTCTCGAACGTATAATAAACGAGAGAGTGAAGATAAATTAATGGCCCTTAGTATTTCTCTTCGAATTCCGGATACGGTGTAATTGGATCCTTACTAACGCATTTTCTTCGTTACACATTGCAATCCAAGAAAAAAGAAAAAAAAAGGAAAAAAAAAAGAAAAAAAAAAAGAAAAAAATACGATGCATCGCCTGTACTTGTATACAAGTAATGGATTCGTTGCGAGCGCGTAAATGTAAAAATTAGAATTAAGGCCAGTGTTACACGTATACGCAGCGTACTATTCATATCACATAATGAGTCCGTTAAAAGAATTTTTTCGCGTGTGAATGTCGACGAGAGAGAAAGAATGAGAGAGAGAGAGAGAGAGAGAGAGACGCAAATGTTGTAATCCGAACGTTGTCCAACATTGAACAATGGCACAATGGATCCGAAAAATCTCAGTTACATATATAAAAATTGTTTTCATATTTCGGCGAGTAGTAGTATAGTCAGATAAAACGCGAAGGATCGCAAATACTTTTATAAAAGTAATTGTTATGTTATTTACAGGCCTCCTGCTAATTACTGTCTAAAGGAAAGCAAGATTCACAATATTCCATTATAAAATAAATACAAAAGATTTAATAACACATCACGGAGAAGCTACTTTATTGCTGAACATTTGTAAATCTCTATCTGGTACTTCCAATAGTTTGTTATACATTATAAATCTGGTATATTGTTATATGCCATATCGTCGAAAACGATTCTTTTTCTAAACACCTATACACACACCTTCCTTTGTCATTTCGACATCTAGGTTTACCTTTTATTGTTTTAATTTTGATAGATGAATTTTACATACAAAATATATCTATATAAATATGTAATAAATATATAGACATGAATAAAATACTAAGATCTTTATGACCCTTACTTCTACGTAGTAGGAAAATCTCATATTTGGAAAACAATTTTAATTAAGAAATGAAAAGATATATTTCACTGACTAAAACTATTTTACACAATATGAAATATATTGCATTGACACTATTAATTATTTACTAACTATTTTCTTTCGGTATAAAAAGACTTACGCATAATTAGATATTATTTGTAATGTACTTCACAATCCTCATCTGAATCTTCAGACACATTTATACTCAGACCACTAAGGTGATCATCATCATCTTCCTTCAATTCTTGTTTCATCATTGCCTTATATCTCGCATATTTGTAACCATAAGCGTTCACATCATTTTCATCAACCGCATAAATAAAATCATCTTCTTCAGATAAATCTGATCCATCTTCTAGTCTCATATTCATAACAGCCGCTCTTATGTCGTCTTCATCAATTGATCCTTCAGAGTTATTAGAATCGGGATAATCATTTCTCCAATTTGACTCTGAATTAGAATCATCTGAATCATATTCAGCTTCAGGATAACCATTATCCTCATAAGTATCATGAACTAAATGATCGAATGGATGTACACACACGTCTTCGTTCAAGTACATGTCATTCTCAGTTTGAACATAATATAAATCGTATACATAATTATCATCCTGTAAAACGTTATTCATATCATGTAAATAATTGCTCACTGAAATAACCAAAAACTGTTTAAAAAATATCGTTTACCTTTTCTACAGAATCCTTCTTTGTTACGGATTTTGAATCCTCCACATCTATTACAGTAACAACTGTTTCTTCAGAATTTTCCGCAATCGAATTATCCAAAGATCGAAAACAATTAACTACTTTATAACGATTTTCTGCCGAGGCCTCCTTTGTTGCTTCCCTTATTTTATTCAGAATATCCGCAGAATGTTGTTTCAAATGTATTCGTCCTTCATTTTTCGCATAAGTTTGAATTAAATGTTCAACATTCTCGTCCTGTAAAAATAAAATAAATATTAATTTACTCTGAAAATAATGCTCAATTTGTTAGAAATGACTTGTTTTTTAATACAAACATGTTGTTTGACGGTCCCAGCAAACTTAGCAAATGTGGTTAGAGGAACTGATGATGCATCTTCTGTTTCTTCGTTTTCCGCAATTTTTTGTCGCTTACATGAAATTACTAGAGCATTTGATGGTTCATCATCGTACCTACGTTTCACACGCAATATCGCTGTCATTTTTTTGTTCAGAAAACTACTTTAAGAAAATATTCACACGTGCACGTTTAGCTTTGCGTCTTATTCTAACACACTCTACTATTCACGTTACTTGTCCTATTTTGAGGTTAGAATCGTTTCAGCAGTCGACATATCGATTATCATTCGCTGACCTGGTCAGCAACAACGCTGGCAGGGCGTAGAAATTCTCGGTATGTTTTCGACTTGGAATTTGTTCATTTTCTTCATATTATACGATTCATGAAAGCTTGATCGTTGATTTCGCTTAAAATGAAGCGTTAATATCATTGTAAAACATGGCGCAATCTATTTTCGACGCTTTAACAGGTAAAACTTTTCTATCGTAGAAATAGGTGGGGTTAACCCACAAGTATCTTATTCATCTTTCTTTTTCTAAAAGAAATTACACATAATATTTTAGAGGTTTAGGATGATTGTTTTTTCCGTTTTACAGGTGTATCATTGGATAGTCCTTCTGTGCAATCGTTATTAGAATCTCAAACTCTAATAACTGAAGTTGAAGATTCAGGTGGGTCTTTGATGAAGTAATACTCATAACCTATTAACTGAAAATTGTTCGTTGTAGAGGAGAAACTTTTGTAAATATTTCTACAAATATTAGGAACATTTTTATGTTTTGTATTTAGCAATCGATCAGGATGAGGAAGATATATTTCAGTGTGGAAAATGCAAAAGCCAATTTACATCATTGCACATGTTTGTGTTGCACAAAAGGACACATCAAAAAACACAAGAGCAAACAGTAGATTTGAGTCAGTTTTTGGTGAATGATGAAACTCAGACTGTTCACACAGAAGACAATAGTGAAGATGTATCACAATTCAATCAAGAAACATTTGTTCAAAATGATCAACTTAGTGAACCAATTATACTTGAAGAATCTGATATGCTATTTAGGTAAATATATAATTTATAATTATTATACTAAAAGATATTTTCTTCTTAATAAATAATGTACCATTCATGTATTATAGCATGGATCAAGAGGGTGCTAATTACTTTACAACAGATTCCACATTTAGTGTTCCAATTATATTAAGTTCAGAAGGTTTGGATACTTTTGCAAACTCTACTATTCCAGGGGATAATGATCCTATAAAAGATGATTCAAACGATGTACCTCAAGTTCTCCAAAGTGATATTTCTCAAGAACAAAACATTAATAATATAGATAAAATTGATGTACCAACGACTGAAAATCTAATAACAGGATCTGAAACTATTACCAATCAAACGCAAAACTTAAAAGTATGTATCTTGATGAAATAATAAATTTTTGTTACCATTTTTAATATAATTTTAAATCCCATATTTATTAATAGAAAGTTTCTATTGCAGTATAAGTGTGGTTATTGTAGCAAACAATTTTCAAAAAAATTTTATTGGCAACAACACGAACGTTCTCATACAGGAGAAAAACCATATCAATGTGTGGTATGCGGACGTGCATTCGCACAAAAATCAAACGTTAAAAAACATATGTCATCACATAAAGTGTGGCCAGGAACTGCTATACACTCCTTACCTCCAGAAGTATTTTTAACATTTTGACATAGACACAATTTTTCTCTTCCAAAGATAACTAAATGTGTATCTTTTTTGATAATTCATTTTAATAATTATTGCTAGGCACCACCGGATGGAAGCATAGATCGCACCTATCATTGTCAGTTCTGCAAAGAAATATTTGATTCGTACAAAGCTCTGAAGGGGCATCTTATAGTTTCTCATTTAGCATTGAAAGTGTACAAATGTGTGCAAAGTAGCTGTAGTATGATGTTTGCTGAACTCGAAGATTTCTTAGAACATACTCGCAGTCATAAGAGATCTGAATACCGTTGTCACGTGTGCGGTGAAGTGTTTAATACTCTGTCTGATCTTGGGCTCCATCAATACGCTCACTCCGTCCAAAAACAAAAAACAACAGAGAAATATTATTGTTGTTCCGTTTGTAAATCCTCTTTCTCTAATTTGGAGGCTTTACAACATCATACGGAAACTACAACGCACGATTATGCTTGTCTACATTGTGGAAAGAGTTTCTTAATCGAACGATTTTTGCGGCGTCATTTGAAAACACACGCCTCATCCGCACGATTTGCTTGTGAGGATTGCGGAAAGGCCTTTAAAACTGAGCAATATTTAGCCAATCATAAGTTAATACACAGCGAGGAAACACCGTTCCTATGTCCAGTGGGTGATTCAATAGTCAATTTAAAAAAATCCATAAATTGTTTTACATTTTATATATACATAATTTGTTTGTTACAGCATTGTCCAGCTAGATTCAAGCGAAAAGATCGTTTAGGTCGTCATATGTTGATTCATGATTTAACAAAGAGATTAAAGTGCCCATTCAGAACTTACTTAGGTTGTATGAGTGAATTTTCACGACCTGATAAATTGAAGCGTCATCTATTGACGCATAGCAATATTAAAAGATTTAGTTGTAGTCATTGTAATCGTAATTTCCATCGGGCACAAGCTCTTAAGCATCATGAAATGAATAAACATAGTTTAAAATGCGAAATTTGTTCACATGTAAGTATTTCATTTGTTTGAATCTACAGAAAATTCATAATTCATTTCAATTTTTCAAAATTCATTTTGCAGGCATTTAAAACTAAAGAACAATTGCTAACTCATAATTGCGATCAGTCGAATGAGACTAAGAAGCACATGAGTTCACAGTTGCCTAAGAAAGCTTCTGGATCATTTAAACCAAGGAAACCTACTCCAAAGAGACAGACGTCCTCAAAGACTGCAATTGGGCTTGCTGATAAGGAAAAACTAGAGAAATTTAAGGCTGACGAAATACAAAGAAAAGTAATATTATAATACATAACGGTATAACTTAATAAACTATTTATTATGCAGTAATTCACAGTGTTACATATTTATTGTATATGTTTCAGATCACCTCTGAAATGTTGAAGTCTGATGACTATAGAGATGAAATCTGTACCAAAAAAGGGGAGAACATTTCTGTATCAAAAGAGATCGGTTCAACAATCAACACTCTTATCAAATCTGACGCAGCGGACAATGAAATCAAACGCAACATTGATACATATTCGGTACAAGGCGAATAGAGTTTTTAAATATATTTTTTAATTGTATTTAAATATTATAATATAGTTTAGGCTGTAGATAAGTTGACATACTACGTGCAATGGGATCATTGGCAAACTGCAAGTTGCATTTTATAATAGTATATATAATATTTTGTAGTTTACATATCTGTGATAATTGTATTATAAAATATATTAATATAAATAACTTATATCTATCTATCTCAAATATTTTTAATGTCGCCTTCCTTAGGCCATTTGAAATTTATGGATGTATTAAAGAAAGAAATGTTTGTGTCAATGAGCGTGTTTCATTCTACACAACTCCTTTTTAGTTTTATGCACTCGTTGTTCTTCCTTATAAATTAGTAAAAGGATGCATCTTATCGTATCTTACGGATGTTGGAACGCATTTCAAGATAATGCTTAGAAGGAAGTGGTTGGTAAAACGATAATAACCCACCTTCTTTCTTCTATTAACATTTCAAGTCTGGTTCAGTAGAAAAAAGCAGTGTTCTTATACATAAGTGAAACTGATGTGCACTTAATGCACTAATAAAGTAGTAGATTACATCTTAAAAGATGCCTTCTCGAGGATCTTATCAACTTGCCAATGTGGTAGAAGGCAGAGCAGCCGAAAGGGACCAATTTTACAGAAGTTGTGTTGTATTATTGTTAATATTTTTCTTTCTCTGTATTATCCTGATCCTAGTCAGCTTACCGTGGAAAGATGAATACATGAATACAATGCAGGTAAGCTTATTTTTGATATTACAAAAATTATAATTAGAAAAAAAATTCGATTCAGAATTAAAAATAATTACACCTACACAGCATCACCATCATCATCATCATACAGAGCTGAAAGAAACTGAAAGAACAACTAGCAGTATGGATCCAATTAAATCATTATCCACTACAACTATTGTGGATGAAAGCAATTCAATAGAAACAGAAACAACAGAGAGTTTTGAAGTATTGACCGGCAATTCGAATGTTACTGATTCATCTAAATCTAATACTGAAACTGTCACAGAAGATCTATCACAGACGGAGATTTACAGTGAAATTGTAACTAAAGAATTCAACACTTCTTCGGTGATTAATATTAACATTATAGAAGATAGTACATCAATTTCGACAGAAAAATTTCAAGAAACAGATACCGAAGATACGGAAGCTTCCAGTCCTGTATTCATAGATCAAGAAATTCTCAGTGAGATTGAAGAGTCGACTGAAGCAAATGTTACGGAAACTTCCACTCCTATATTCATAGATTATCAAGAAACTCCTACAATATTAACTTCTAGCTCACCGATTGACAAGTCAATATGTTTCGAAGGTGAATGTAAAAACTTAGCTGGCAAGATATTATTTTATATGAATCATTCAGTTGATCCATGTGAAGATTTTTACGAATACGCGTGCGGTGGTTTCGAGGCGAATCCTCAAACTGTAGAATGGGATCTGGAGACTGTAGCTCATCAACGCATTTTAAGTTCGTATTATTCTATTCCTTACGAGATAAATAATTACTTAAATATTCGAATATTCTTTAAATTTTTAAATTACTTTTCCTTTGTTTTCTTCTAATGAGTAAATCCTATATAAAGATGTAGCACATGTACAACAGTTTATTTCAATCCGAATCAGGACAAATGCAGGAAGAAAGCGAGAAAAACATATCGTCGCTTTTCGCCGACTATTACAACAGCTGCGTGAAATATAAGAACGTCAATCGGACAGAAAGGATACAGCTGGGTACAGAGAAATCACACTGTTTCCAAATGAATTTCTAACTTCGAATACAAGTTTAATGTACAACAAATGGCATAACATTTTTTTTTTTTTTTTCCTTACAGCGAGAGAGACGTTGGATAAAATAGGCAAATTTTACACTAAAGAGACATGGCCTGAAAATCATACAAGCTTCACCGAGCTACTTGCTAGACTATTGTTACGCAACAGGTAGGAGAGATTGAAGACAACGACGGTACAAAAATATCGCACGTCGCGTTCATGTAATATACTTCTCGCTCGTTTTTTTTTTTTTTTTTTTTTTTTTTTT